CATTCAGATGTTCTCCAGTGGTTATTAACAGCAATTAGATATTAGAAGAAGAATGGAAAGAGTGTCAGAGTTGAAAGACCCTTAGGTCACATAGCAAACGAGCTGCAGGGTCAGGATTATAACACAGGCCTTCTAATTCCCAAGCCAGGCTATTTCTACCACACCTAAAATGAGACGTCTTGCTTCTCCTTCCTGATTTTCTATCATTTCACTGGGTTAGATCTTCAGATTCCCAAACTACTGCTCTTTCTACAACAAATTCCAGAGCAGAAGATTATCATTCCACTGCAGAATCGGCTAGATAACAGTCTCAGCAGGCTGGACTACAATCACTAAGTTTTACTACATTTAATTTGTGCATATACTGATATTTATAATGAGAGATCATTGAGATGGGATCCAGACTAGGTTTGCTTGTGTATTTAAACACACAAATTGTTACACTGTCACCCAACTTTGGATCATTTCAGCACTGATTATTTGGTGTGTTAATTACAATCATAGCATTTCAGAGCTGGCAGGGACCTTAGAGGTGGTCTTGTTCACAGTGTTTTAAGTCATTTTTTAAAGCTACAGCAGACCTGGAAGCCAAAGACATTTATAAAAAAGTGCTATGTTTGTTGAACACCTGTGGGGTTGAATCATCTCTAAGGAGTCCTTCTGATCTTCAAAGTGTAATTTGAAAATCACAGATGTAGATCAATGGTCTCCTTGTAGAGATGGAAAATCAAGATAGTCGAGAAGCAGCGTTGGGATCAGAGCATGCGTTTCTCCTGCCTCCCAATCTGCCACATTTCAGAATTGTCCTCCATCTCTCTAATTTTGCTGTTTTAGCTCCTCCACCAACAGGTGAGCAGAAAAACATTCAAACTCCTTCCCCTTCTTCCCCAGGGTTACTTCCTCTTTCAAATAAGGTTTCATATGTACTTGCTTTAAATAGGCCAAGACACGAAGGTCTGGAGTTATAAAACACAACCAAAGTCTTTCAGTGTAGTATTCCTGGATCTAGCACAGCAAGAAAGCTTAACCTAATCAATTGTGCTGTGTTTGGAAAATAAACGTGCTAAAAGGAGATGGTGTATGTAGCCTCTATTACTGGGGACATCACAAAACCAAGTGGTGCCTGAGCTTGAACACAGAGTCCAGGTCTATCCTAGAGGCACGTATATCCCCTTGTGAGCGTGGTGGCACCAGCCACTCACACAGTTCAGGTCCTTCCCCTTGCTTAGATTTCATGAGCAGAAATTAAATTTCTGACTATAATTTGGCTTTCCAAATATGTGGGTCATTTCAATTCTAATTGTAACTAAGTGTGAAATGGCATTCTGGTTTTGACACCAGTGTCCTAGGAGATGGCAGCAGGAGGCCGGTCCAAAGAAACTGCTCTTTTCTATGCACGGGTCTTCTGAGGACAGGGAGGTGGTGCTGGACCAGGGAGGTATTATTTGAAAACAAGTTTAAGAGAAGTAAAGACTCGTGTGATTGGTTCCACGTCAGGATACGGGCAAGCACACGACCCAGAAGCTACTACCTTCTTTCAAGCCAAAAGTTTCCAGTCTATAAATGGAGCAAGTTATTACCTCTTGTGGCTTAGGTTCGTGTTGGAGGCAACTGGATGTTAATGACACCACATAGAGATAGTGACATGTTTACATATTTTATTTACAACAGAGTCTCAAAATTATTTGCTGGTGAAGGACATGCCATTCTCACCCTCCTTCTTGTTTGCAGTGACAAGAAGGCCATGGCTAACAGACCCAGGTCCGGGGCTGGCCACCATCTCACTGGTATCCAGTGAGCCATAATCTTCTTTGGATTTGCCGCAGAGTAAGTCAGGAAGTTGCCTGGTCATGTGTATACTTGGGAGGGAACCAGGCAGGCTTGGTGGAGAGTTTCAAACCAACCCAGTGACCACAGGGACAGGTCACGGTAGATGAGACAGGGGAGACTCATGAACCACGACTAAAGATGGAAGAAAAGAGCATGCGCTTCTCCATACAGTAACCTGGGCCCGAGGAGCCAAGTTGATCTTTATATCCCATTGAACTATAATGTCTCAGGATTTGGTGGTCTCTGCCAGGATAATACTTTTGAGATTCATTCTTCACCATTCCTTCCTACATACTGGGGTTAGGAGGTGTGGATCCTTAAGATCGTCTGCTTGGCAAAGCAGAGAGGCCCAGATCTAGGGCTCAACAAAGACAGGGTGTGGGAGGTGGGGGTGAGAGGGGAAACATAGGGCCAAGCTTTAGAAAGAGCTTTGTGTGTGTGTGTGCGTGTGTGTGCGCGCGCGTGTGTGTTTCATCCTTTTTAGCAAGGGTATTTAGGAGGGAACCTAAATGGGAAAAAAAGGGCTTTAGTTCTGTTTTGGGACTACTGTATGACTCTGGTTATCAAAAACGCCCCATTCCCTGTTTTTTAATTTTTAAATTTATTTTTATTTTTGTTAGTCATTTTGTTTGTTCTGCAGCCCCTATTTTAAAGAAACCAAGTGGTGGTGTGTCCCTGCCCAGGGAGAGCAACCTGGTATTGGCAAGAAGAGTGGGGTAAAACCTCAGACCACACTTTTTTAGCCAAGGCTGGTTTCTCCTTCAGAACTTGCCTGTTATAAAACAGCCAGGAGAGTTTGGGCTGTTCGTCTACATCATATTTTTCCTAGAGGAACTTGGGGAGCCAACAAGGTCCTTTCCTCCCTTTGGTGTTTTAAAAAACAGAGCAGGGAACTTGATTGTGCACCTGGGTGAGCGCTGCAGGAAGGAGTTGTCTGAGATATGAAAGCTCAGAATGTACGTGACCTGCCAGGAAGCTGTTCTGACTTGAAACTGGGGCCTAATATCAGTCATGTAGAGACTCAATGAATGGAACAATTAAAAAAAAAAAAAAAAAAAGCTTTGGGGGGGGAGAGGGGGGGTGGAGAACCCCAGG